TATTTAGAAGATTTCTACAACTTTTCTGTTATTTTGTGTATAGTTTTTTATTCTATTTCGATTAAATTTACTTTAATTTGTAAACAGAACGCTTTAGTTTTATCATTCTACGGGTTTTTGTTAATCTCCGTAGCACCGTCTGCTTGTCTTGTTTATTTGTGACTAAAATTAAAAGTATTGATAGAGAAGAACAGGATCTAATTGCCGTTCTAATTTTCATTGATCTCAGATTAGTTTGGCGGGTGTGGTTTTGTTATTTTCTGTTATAAATAGGTTGTTTTTTCTGCCAGTTTTTTTAAATGCTTACAAATCTGTGTCAGAGACATCCTGTAGCCACTGTGCCTCAAACACTAGGTTTTGAATCTGTAAAATATTTCTAGTTGTAATTTTCTCATACTGTAAAAATTATTTGGCAAAACAAACAAAGAAATTTATTGGTAATTTCAGATAGATTTCATCACTTTCGAATCGTCGGTTTTTGGTATTTTTAACAAGTAGATTTCTTAATAAAGAATGTACAAACATAACGAAATTAACTATATAGCTGAGATATATCTGGTGATATAAATAAAAGTTTACAGAACTTTCACTTTGACTCCGTGCTAACCAGATAGTATATTTGTATCGAACCAAATGCAATAGGTTTGATGTTTGAATCATACGTCGAACTAAATATGCCGAACCTAACACCGTTTTTCAGTCATCCATCGGAAGAACGTTTTTTTACGTATTCAACASTGAATAAGGCTRYCACGAAGATAATGCGCAAAACGRGTAATTTGTTAAAACAGAGTAATAGTCAGAGAGAYGTTTACCTACCGATATMTAACCGCCTAYAGAAGCAGATGTGATTTGCTAAGGTTCGTGGTCATGATATCTAGAGTCCAGCTTAAAGTACCGAGATTCGTTTTCATTATTGATTAGTAAAATCGGTTTCCAAGGAAAACTACTGCGTCATTGAGCAGATGTTTGGGTATTTACGCTATTGCAAAAGCGATTTCTCGTTGTATGGGTCCTTGCGTACTATTTTTCATTGGGATCTGGTTTTGTTAAGTATTGTTTTTCCTGTTGAATTTGTTTCTGCCTAGAAAGCTAGATAACAGACACCTTGCGATCAATGAAGGTGTGCCTTGGACAATAGATTTTTAATCCGAGAAATATCTCTATGTCTAGTTTTCTGACTCAGTAAATCCTGCCTTAGAATCAACCAAAAGAAGAGATAATATCAGAAAGTTTCTTTGTTTTTCCATCTTTGGAAAATCAGATATTTTAGTAAACTAAACAACATTAGACAATTCCTCATTGATCGTCAAAAAAGAACTCAATGTACGTAGGGAGAACTCTTTGAATGTGTTTAAGAATCAAGATGTTTATTTAAACAAAGTAAGTAACTCAGAAAGACTATGGCTTTTAAAATGTACTTCGTTGCACATTCTTCAGTTAATTCTCGAAAGAAAACATTAACGTTTCGTGCGGTGTAAACACTGAATTGTGATTGGTTGAGCCATGTACTGGGAACATCAACAAAATAAGTTAAAACAATTCGTATGCCCGGTTTAGATGAATATTTACATTTTTTCTGGTATTTTATGTATAGTTTTCTTATTCTATTTCGATTAACTTTACATACATGGAAATGTATCCAAATAATTCTTAAATTATCTGAGCTTTAAGTTTTAAAGAATTGTTTTGAATTGTCTGTGAATAGTTTGAATTAGCATCGAGATGACTCGACAGCCGGCCAAATGAAATAAGTTTGATGTTTGATTCATACGTCGAGCTAAATATGCCGAATCTAACAGCGTTTTTTCAGTCATCCATCGGAAGAACGTTTTTTTACGTATTCAACACTGAATAAGGCTTGCACGAAGATAATGCGCAAAACGRGTAATTTGTTAAAACATAATATTGCTCAGAGATGTTAACCTACCGATATGTAACAGYCTGAAGAAGCAGATATGATTTCCCGTTAAATTGTCTGGAAGCAAAGGCGTTTTCTTTTCCAGAGCGCGTGGTTAATATCTAGAGTCTAGCCCAAAGTGCAGAGATTCGTTTTCATTATTGATTAGTGCAATTGCGATTCCAAGGAAAACTATACGACGTCATTGAGCAGATGTTTGGTTATTTACGCTATTGCGCAAGCGATTTCTCGTTGATCGAGCTGTTTTATGGGATCTTTGTATGGATACTTGCCTACTAGTTTTCAATGGAATCTGGTTTTGTTAAGTACTGTTTTTCTGGTTTTGTTAAGTACTGTTTTTCAAATTTATTTCGGCTTAGAAAACTAGATCACAGCCACTCTGCGACCACTGTAGGTGTGCCTTAGACAATAGCTTTTAAATCTGAGAAATATCTCATTATGTGTTTTGTATTATATCTTTATGAATATATTACATCAACTGAGTGCTACGTAGATTCTGGAAAAATCACCTCTCTCACCCCCATTCTCCCTCTTTTTACTACAAAAAAAAAGACAGGAAGCCCAATATTGTGATGCCTGCGGAGGAATCTATGTCGTTGTAAGCCTTTAGAATCCAGACGGTGGTCAGATGAAGTCTGGATTTCTCCATACATTTTAATTTCCCAAATTTTGCGTATCTTCAATAGCGGATAATTCCGCAACCAAACGCTCTACAATCTTAAATCTATGTCGAACTATGTAGTGGTTAATGCGAGTAAATTAAAAATTGTGATGACGTAACTGAAACATGAATATTTAATTAGGGAAATTTCCCTTCGTCTGTAAAATGAAAGTGAAATTTCAAAACTCATCAAAAGTAAAGATAATTCTTATCTCAGCACTGTATCATTCTTAAGGTCCGCGTTATAGTCATTTATACAGTGAAAAAGCATTTCCATTTTTCAGAACATGATCGACACATTGTTTGTCGACCCGGATTGTTTCTTGAACTGGCTACGCGTATAAACAACTGTGAATAATACTACTTACCATCAAAATACAGTCGTTTTGTCACTGTTCTTTAGGAATAGAAGAGCACTCTCATTGCTACTGATSATCCTACAAGAAAGTTGATATTATTCGTCAAGATTTTACGCAGTTTAGGGCTTTATATTAGTTAGTTGCCTTTGTTAAAATGTGCTTCGTTGCGCATTCTTCASTTAATACATACAACCAGAGAGCAAGTCTCCTGCAGTGTGAATCTGAGTAAGGATTGGTTTAAACCATAAACTGTGAACATCAACAACATAAGATGAGCAATTACTTTACCGATTGAAAGCATTTTTGGGGCGTAGTTTCTTTGCTTTTTTCCTATTTTTTTTTCGTTCAATTTGCATTTCAGCRGCACAAATCTCTTTTAAATAATTTACTGTGCAAGTTTTTAAGAATTGTTTTGAATTGCCTGAATAGTGGCAATACTTGTCCGTTGACTCAACGCTAGATTTACGGTTTGTAACGTCAAAAGACACCCTAAGGAAAAATTTTACTAGAAGACCAAAAGCCCATCAACAAAAAAAATTACGTTCTTTTGTGGTTATATGGCTATTACAAAATGTTCAACAACGATAAGTATCTGGAAGATTTTTACAACTTTTCTGTTATTTTGTGTA